ACATCCACTAATTCCAACTCCTAGAAGACATGAGGATATCATGCTAAAAAATCAAGAAAACTCAACCGCAATTAAAAATTCAACTCACAAAATTGATTATAATTACGCTAATTATTGAATCAAAGATTAAATGGACTTTACAATAATAATCAATGACATTTTTGAGAATCAAAAGTTTTTCGCTTAATTATCTTTTATTAATAGTATATTATTAACACCAAGAAACGAAACGACAAACAAAAGGACGAAAGAGATAAAAGGGAGCAAAAATTACCATTCAAAGCTAAATCTGAATTTTCCAAATCCAAGGTCTTGAGATGGTGAGGTATCACGTAGTATAAGATAGGAAATAAAGTTAGATAAGAGATAGGAGTCTTTGAGTTGAATGAGAGAGAGGTGTCGGGGTGAGGTAGTAGTTAGTATGAGATAGTGATAGAGGACCGTTGGATCAACAATCTCTTCAAACGATCTGAGCCATCAAAATTTCAAGACAAATATTCTAGCTATTTTATTTTATAGATATAATCTTGCCTATCTAAGCCAAATCGGGCCAAACTCATATTCGGATTAAATATGTATCCGTGCCAATGTCTGATAAACCAATTTCACTTTCACATCCGCTTGGGGTCCATTGACAATGGTGGTTTAAAAACATTAAAATGATATGTTTTTTATTATTATACCTCTTAGTCAATCTAATCCTATCTTATATTTAGATTTCTAAGCAAAAGATACGTGAGACCCACTATCTTATTAGCTTATCCAAATAAGTGTTAACCCACTTAACCATACCCAAACATATTAAACAATTCAAGTTGGTTGACCTGCAAGATACTAAACAAATTACTTGTTCGTGGTCCAGTGACACCAGGGCCGGCCCTCGGCATAAGCTACTTAGGTGGTTGTTTAGCGTCCCCAATATTTCGGGGTCCTAAATCCCTTAAGTTGAATTGAATGCCTTTTATAATAGGGTGGTTTGAACTCAAATAAACTAATGAAATTATAAAAGAGATTCTTACCATTATATTACACAATGACCCATTGTCAAAAGAGGGTCCAACAGCTCTTCTATTACTTTTAATAGTCTCCCAAACTATCAGGCCAAGTCTTTTTCAATGTGTCAAATATCTGATGAAAAAAATATGTCAGACACATGTAAATTCTCTCTCCCTCTCTCCCTCTCACACACACACAATCGCATATAGTGTAAGTGATTGTTAATGTTAAAAAATAAATAACTGGAGCACTCAAAAAAAAAATTTTATTAGCATGAAAACTATTCTTAAATAGAAGTCATACTATTCCTTTAATCCAATATAGGTTTAAAATATTAAAAATAGATAAAATATTTTTGACTTTTAATTTAGTTTAAAAAAATTAAATTCTTTATGTGATGAAAGTTTTGAAAATATATGGTCTTAAACTTGATTTTTTTTTAAACGTGACTTATTTTATAATTTAATTTATTTTTACAAAAAAGTCTTATGAACTTTCATATGTAGACAGTATACATGGGAACAACGATTTAATGACACATAAAAAGATTAGTTTCTTTTTCAAATGCCTCCATTCCTTATTTAATATTGTAAATAATGTAATTATGAGTTTATTCTACTTGAAGACAATTTTTTGAATTATAAATTGATAAAATTTTATTTACAATCAATTATATTATCAGAAAAAATGAAGAGATTAGATATATTATCTATTAAAAATTGTTTAGTAGTAACATATCAATTTAAAAGCCTAATTAATATTTTAGCATCTCAAAAAATAAATAACATTTATTAAATATTATTATTTAATATTATGTATATATATATATATATATATAATGGGGCATTGTTTAATGTTTCGGCTAAGTCCCCTATAACGTTGGGCCGCCCTGAATGACACTTTGTGAATAATGAGAGATTAGTTGAAGCTTTTTCAATTAAGTTGACGAGTGGCAACGTTGCAGCTTTCAGCCACCGTCATGTGGGGCATGGTACGACATGAAAGAAGATCAAATGAACTACAAAACCACGCATTTCACTTGCTGCACACCACAGGAAGATTGGTTTAATTCATGTATAGTTGATTCTTGACACTATAGAAATAACCAAACACACATAAGTACTTGAGGATTAACTACTAAAAATGATGTTAAATGCCCAAATCCCGCACGATGTAACAAATATACCTTCCTTTAGTTTCCCATCCACTCTCCTTTTTCTCTCTCACCAACTAGCATACCAATGCGATACAAGGTAATTTAAAGCCTAAAACCAAAATATTAAATGAGATTTTTTTTATAGTATTAATATTTTAAGAAAAATTAATTTTATTTTTAATTTTTTATGAGAGAGAGATAGAAAAATGATGTGTTAATATTGCCAAGAAATAAGTTTTAATTTTTTATTTTATTTTTTAGGGAGAATTACGCTCAGACCCCTTGAATTTTGTCACTTAATCACTTAGACCCTAAAATTTAAAATATTACACACAGATTCCCTGATGGTTGTACGCGCATAACGTTTATACTCATGTTTTAAATATATCCGTTAATAAATTACACTTAAACCCCTAAAATTTATAGGTATATAATACTTAGACAAAAAATACTCCAATTAAATATATAATATCAAATATTTTAAATTTTACAACAAGAATTCTTTTTCTATCGTATCATTTATTGAAATAAAATTAAAATTAAAAATTTAATTTTTTTTTAAAAAAAATTGTAATTAGTATACAATTATATTATCTATTGAAATAAAACTAAAAAATCAAACAAATGTGTATAAGTAATTCATAATAAAACATAAATTTTATATCGAAAATTCATATTCTATTATGTCATTTATTAAAATAAAATCAAAAATAAAAATTTATTTAAAAAAATCATAGTTAGTATACAATTATATTGTCTATTAGAATAAAACTAAAAAAATTAAACAAGAAATCAAATTGTAATGGACTCAATATCTTTTGGTTTTAATTGAGGTAGTTTAGTATTTTAATTTGGTCGTTTAAATGACTAAATTAAATTTTAATAGAAAATATAATTATATATTAATTACAATTTTTTAAGAAAAAATTAAAATTTTATTTTTGATTTTATTTCAATAAATGATACAATCGAATATGAATTTTAATTATAAAATTTAAAATATATTTGATATTTTATATTTAATTGAAGTATTTTTAGTCTAATTATAATATTTTAAACTTAAGGGGTCCAAGTAATATATGTTTACAAATTTCAGGGAATCTAGGTGTAATTTATTAACAGATATATTTAAAACAGGTGTCTAAGTGTTATACACGTACAAATATTACGGGATGTGTGTAATATTTTAAATGTGAGGAGGTTTGAATGATTAAGTGATAAATCTTAAGAGATGTAGGTGTAATTTTTTCTATTCTTTATTCGAAAAAGAGAGTTTAATTTTAACTTTTTTTTTATTTTACTTTTTTTTTAATCGAAGAGAGAGAGAGAGTAATGTTTGTGCCTTCTATATGTGTGTGTGTGTAAAGAGAGAGATTTTCGAGTTGTGCTAAAAGAGGAGAAGGTTCCATTATTCGCATCTAATTTTGAGCGTTTTTTATTCTTTTTTTCGGTCATTTTCTAGAAGTATCTTGGGCATTCAAATTAGTGATTGATTTGATTGTGCTCTTTGCAAGATAATTCTGGAAATATACTCAGTAATAAAAAAATAACGGGACTCTGTAACGTAAAGGGCTAAATGGTCTTTGCAATTACCCCGGAGCTCCACCAAGATACTTGACCCGGCCTTTTCATCGCATACCCCTAATAAGCCAAAGTGACCAAAAATTTGGAGATGCGGGGTATCGATCCCCGTGCCTCTCGCATGCTAAGCGAGCGCTCTACCATCTGAGATACATCCCCCGTCGTCTTCCTATTTATTATAATAATTATATATATTTTTAAATCAATACCAGCAACAGCCGTGGGACTTGCTGAAAGTCTAACTGTGCTCTGCCTCAAAGAAGTCGACACTCGAGAGCGCATATATGGATTTCAAGCAAGAGCATAGAGGCACTACTTTTATTTTAGTAGTAATCTACAAGATGGGGAAATTTTTTTTCGGTATTATATCGCTATTTATAATTTTTGCGGGTGTTTTTATAACTATTGTAATATTAATTGATTAATTTTATTTATTTTTTTACAAAATAACCTGTAAAAATATCTTTAATTATAAAATTTGGAAATTTAGAGGTATGTACCTAACATATATAAGTAGGTTGCGCATCATATCGTTATCTTATATCTCCGATCACATGCCAACAATGGACGAAATTTACTCTCTTTTTTGAAAGTGTACGTATATGAACAATTTATGGTTAACAGGATCGTTCTTGTTTCCCTTCAGTTGATTGATAAAATGCTAATTATGAATAATTTCAGTAGATGTTTTTCAATTAATTCGGATGCATGATGATTGATGAGACATGGCGTATTCAATTTGTTTCGAAGTAGCAGCACCTGGCACAGTGGAAACCAGTATTTACCCTTCAAAAAGTTCTTGAAAAGACAGTTTAGAATTTCAGAAAACCAGTATGCAAGACTTAATTGTTTTTTGTACTATTAATGTTGGAGTTATCTGCAGTTTTTCCACTTAATTTCAATTTTATTCTTTTGTACCATAAGATTAAACTGGTTGAATGAATGACAACCAAATGGAAGGCAAGAGGGATGAATCCGAGATGAAGTGGACAGCTTTGTCTGGTACCAATCAGAGCAATCGATGGATGGAAATTGCATGGAATTGGCCTCGACAAAGCTTGCAATAACCAAGATGTTAGAAGTTTGTTAGTAAAATTAAGAACAGAAGGACCTAGTAACGTAGTGCTTAAACTCTAAAAGCTAATAGACTATTTCCCATGTATTGTGTCTTCTTTTCTCATTGGATCATTTGGGACCGTCTGTTGCTTGACTGGGGTCTGGCTATGTTATTAAATGACAGGCACAATCAATAGCCAAGTTATTATTAGTTTAAGGAATGAATTCTGGTGAAGATGTAGTTTATCCCTTCTAGTCACTTTCTGGCAACAACATTTAGAAAATAGAGTTGATTCACTATGTGTTCAACAGAAACAATTTGAACACACTTTTTTTTCTCATCTATTTGATGCATCCCAATGTTCAGATCCCGATTGCAAAAGGACTCTTGAAAGCATATCCTCGTGCAATCTATGTTTATGTATTGGTATCACATGGGGATTTTGTAATGTTAACATGAATTTGTCCTTATGATCTGTGGCTTAGTCTAAAGAAGATTCAGAGTCTTTGATTGCCCCATCATTTCCTCGAGCAGTATCACAGTCCAAAGTGTTCTTTGGAATTCTAATCTCTAAAAGTATGTCATTATTCACATGTGCCTCTATTTTCCTCCAATCTGCATTTTCAGGCAATTCTAGCCTCCGAACATACCCTTGTTCCCACCAATGGCCGCTTCTCCAGTCCTTTGTCTTAGAGTTTCGTTGCTCCCTCCACTGCCCACTAATCTCTACTAACTTCCCATTTTCAACACACACTTGAGCACTATCTTTCCCTAATCCTGTTGTAACAAATCAGCAGTGTCAAAGAAAATTCGCCATGTCTTGTGTAGCAGTTTTTGGAATAAAACTCTGCTGGAGTCTTGGCCTTATCCCCAACTCTACCAATCCAATCCCATTTAACATGTGATCAAGGATTAGTGCCACAAATATATTTTCTAATCCCTTTGCATGGAGCCCAGTAAACAGTAAAACATTGATGCATCCCCTTGTTGGGGATATTTACTGGGCAACCATGAGTTGAGGAATAATGCGTCGAACTCCATAGGCATGTATCCTGTAGAATGGCAACGTATTTATTGCATTTTTCTCGTTTCATGAGAGCATGAAATCCAGCTAAGTAATCTCATTCACAAATTAGAACCAAAAGCTACAAAATTAAGCAAAAGTTAGCCAAAAACACTCACCTGTCACTTCTGCTTTCAAAACATAATCTGCATCAGTTTGGAACCAATCGACTGTGCTCTGGCTGGAGCTCCGAAGCTTAGATAACAATGCATCAGACTCAAATTCCCATAGTGGAAAAGCATCAGAAGGATCAAAGAATTTCCCAAATAGCAAGGGACTGAACAGGGACCCATCACCGAAAATCTTATGCACTGTTGTACTGCCTTTAGCCATGAAACTTGCAAAAGTATCTTCCTTCAATGGAACACACCATTTCTGTGGAGTTGGATCTTCCAATTCAACTTCAAGTTTTTTGCAACTAGTCATTGCAGGTGGGAAAACCCAAATCTTCAGAGCTGTGTTGAAGAGAGTTTGAGACTTTGATGCACCTTATAGAGTGAGTGCTGCCTTTGAAAAAGTGGAGAACAAATGCAGATGGAATATATTGAGGCGGTAAAGCTAAAAGAATATTTCTTTTCTAGAACTTCTTCACTGGTAAGAAAGAATTGTGGCAGGCTGATTAGGCATGGGTAGATTCCTTGTGCGGCCAACAGAAAATTTGTGGCTGTCTTCTTCCATAAAGAGGATGTGGCAAGACAGAAAAGGTAACTGGGGTGCCATTATCTTTTTGAGTAATCTAGATGAGTGGAAAAGTTTTTTTTTTTCTTTTCTAAATATGACTATGAGTACAGTTCAGAAATTACTGTTTTTTCTTCATAAAAAGTAGATTGCATTTAACGAGAATGATGAGAAATGACATGTAAGATGCTGCAGGTTTCCCTACTTTACCGTACAATTGTCTTTAACTTTTGAATTGGAGGTAACCTCTTATCAAGAAACATATTGTGAAAGGAATACTTTGGAAAATTGAAAGGCATTGGCTGTCTATTATTGTCCTGCAGCACCAAGTTGCCTGAGATTTTTTTTTCCTACTTTTTATACGTATTATTTGACTTTTGGAAATGCACTTAACTAGATATAGTTGTGGTGCCGCAATAGTTATAGTTTGGCATCTGCATATATACTATTCCTAAAAACAGGATTGGTGTGAGTTTGATGGATTTTTACAGTTTTGGCCACCTAGAGCTACTACGTTAGAACGGTAGTGACGCAATTTTTCTTTTATTCATAAATAAAATTATTCACTATTTAATTTTTGTCTATTTTGATTTTGACTATACTTTTAATTTAAAAATATAATTTATAAAAAAATTAAATAAAATTATATATTTTTTCAATAGGGCCCCAACAAACCCGCCCAACAGGACCAACAAAAGCCCGCCCGCAAAACCCGCTCAATAAGTGACGGGCTGGACTGCGAGTAGCTTATCCCTACCCAAAGTCCAGCCCGGCCCGCCACTCGCCCGAGTACGGCTTGGGCCTACACTACTTAAGCCCGGCCTGAAAAAAATTCGTTGGCCAAGCCCAACCCGGCCCATTGACAGCCCTACCCAAAGAGTGTGTGTCTCTATGTATGCGGAGGTAAGACTACGCATATATGACTCTCCCAAACTCCGGGTACGTAGGAGCCCCTTGCCCTGCCTTGCCTTTTTTTTAGTTAATATATATGTAGGTTGTGGCTCTTTCTTTCAATAAATATGATCAAACAGTCTTTTACTTGATTCGTCAACTTGCAATGCAGCAAATTGGCTCATGAATGCATGGAGGAATTGGAATAAAGCCATTGACCCTTTCTTTTATCAGAACTACTTTCTATTATTATTGAGCTAAAACTGGGAAAATTAGACAAGTATATTTTCATTGGCTCCTACTGTGGCTCATACACCCACTTTTTGTTAGTTTCCTCTTGCACCGTAAGCAATAAATGGAAAGTGTGTTTATTAGTCACGATTTTAAAAGAAAGTTTTTATCTAAATTGTCTCGATTGGCCTGAACTTGGATATCGATTTAAACAATAGTATTTTCAATTCCTCAAACTATAATGAACTTAAAAAATCAGCACTGAAAAGTAATTAAATATGAGAAATCCATATTAGTTTGTATCAGTCAAGGTTGAACAGGGGTACCAGAAGTTCAATTCTCTAATTGTAACAATATGCTGCTAGCATTATATATGAAAATTTGAAATACCATCGGCTTCTTTCCTCACTTTTTTTTTTTTTTTGTGACATGTAAATCTACTGTAAAATATTTTCTTTCAATTTCACTTAAAGATAGATCTGCCACTATATGTGATTGGTGAACAAGTAGGTTATTTACGGATAAGGGTGTTAAACGAATTAAGTTTTGCAAGCTTGATTTCGAGTTTGTGAAACTTGTTTTTTTAAACGAACCTAAAAAATTATTCAAACTTCGGTTATTTAGAAAATGAGCAGAGCACGAGTTTGAATCCGAACCCGAGTAACTAGACTATTTTACCTATAAATAAGTCGAATATTTTAGTACCGATTTTCTAAACGAACTTAAATATTATTAAAGTTCAACTCGTTAAAAATATGAGTCGAGCTCGAGCCCAGTTCTATCCGAACAAAGCTCAATTAGCTTGTCTTGATTAACATCTCTATCTACGAACATAATGAGATTGTTTCTATTGAGCCATCATATATTCACTTTCAAGAATGTTATTGAGACATAATTTAAGAACATAATGATTATGATTATTAGAATATGAGTAAGTTCCAGTATTAAATGCATTTTATTATCAATTTAATGATTACAATACATTATATTTTTAAATTATGTTCCAATAGCATTAGTGATTCACTTTCATTATTTACTTCAATGAAAGTTCAGTACTAAACTATTTTAAAAAGCTAAAAAATTATCGATATTTAAATATCACAAAATGAAAAATTAAAATATCACAAGTAAAAATTGAGAGAATGAAGTGTGAGTGAAAGCAATGACCCAAAAACAAAAGACCAAGTGTGAATGAATTCTCAACTTATAAAACACAATAATAGTTAAGATTTTAATCTTTATCTACTCTGATCAAATAGTTTAAAATTCATCTATTTTTTTTAGTCGACAATATTATCTTCTTTGCATCGTCCCAATATTAGACAATTCAATTAATACATTAAATATTCCAAAATGCCAAATAATATATTTTTTTCTCTCTTTATTTTAATTTAAAAATACATAATTACAAAAAACCAAATTTTTATTTAAAATATAAATATTTATAGAAGGCGTGTTTGGTTTTACTCTGCAAAACTGTTTTTTGTTTTCAAAATTTTAAAAACACCAAAAACCTATTTGCTTGACATTTTTGTTTTCAAATTTTTGGGAAAAAAATTAGAATTGGAGTAAAAAAATGGAACATAAGCTACACTCATTGGAAACATAGAGACAGTTTTGAGTCTTTAATAAGGTTTGTCATACGAGTTCCCTTAGCAGCAAAAGACTTTCTTCCTTTTTTTTTTTTTCCCTTCTCCTCTCTCTCCAACGTCTTTATCTCCTCTCTCTCTCTACAACGATGTTGTGTAACGAAGATGGAGCACCTAAGATTATTGTGCAACGAAGATGGAGCCCTTCACTTAGGGCTTGTTTTCTCCATCTTCTCTTTCTTTTTCGCAACAATTAAAGTTTAGATCTACATAAATCTGAAGCACGGATCTATGTAGAACTGAATCTGGGTTTGAATCTCTATGTGTGTGTGTTTATGTGTGGATTTTGTGAAGATAACGAGAGGGAAAAGAAAGGTAGAGATGACAACTGTGGATTTTGTGGATTATTGTTCAAACAGATTTTATAATTTTTTATTTTTTAAAATTATTTTAAAAAATATATAACCAAACAAGTTTTGTAATTTACAAATTTTTAAAAATAATTTCTTAAAATTCTTTTGAAAAAATATGTTCAGACATTATATTTTAAGATGCAAACCAAACAGGGGCGGCAGACATGCGTAGTTTCCTTAATATTTCTCAATTTCAGTTCTCGGGTTATATACCAACCCCAATAACCAACCCATGTTGGTCTGTCTTGATAAAAGGTCAACCATTGCTCCCACAGTTTTCAAATCCTCTCAACGGTACTCTCTCAGGAAAAGACGTCTCTTTACCCGCGCCAATCTCGCATGGTAGCGTTGAGGAAACTTAAAGCGAATGTTGAAAAATTCCAAGAAATTAGTTAAACAAACCAAAACTTTGTAGGACTTGACTATTTCAGTATTTTGAAAGCCATTTCTGTCTTTATCAGCTTTCGTGGACAACTGTACCAATTTTCTAAGCAGTTTCATGTCTTTTTGTGCTCCTTTTGGTGGATCTGGTCATAGGCAAAAACCCAAGTAAAGGAATTTCCTTGTGGCTAAATGAGCGTTGGGTCCATGATTGAGAAATGTTTTCCGTTTGAATGTTATTTAATTCGGATAATTCAGTTCATTGGAGCTACTACTGCTTGATTTAGGAGGTGGTTATTTTATTAGATGAGTGTTTGATTCGATTATTTGGCGTTTCATTGGACGGAAAGTTCTGGGTCTTGCTCAAAGGAGTGTCTTTGACCCCAGGCCTGGAGTTTTTCGAAGAAATTTGAAGTGTGTTCAATAAGAAGATTGATTGAAGTCTATGATTGTGACATTTGAAGGGCTTTCTTCAGAAAAAAATTTGATTTGTGTAGTTGATAAATGCTGAAAAGATTGTACCATTTGGTGTGTTGAGGGGTGATGAATGATTTCTAGGGTTGATTGGTGGAGATTTGAGACATACTAACATAGAGAGGTTTCGGTTTTTGGTTTCATTTTGGGGTTTTTGTGATGACATGAAAACCATAGTCTGCTCTTGGAATGCTGATTCAAGAACCAATGGCTGCCAGCAGAGTGGTTTGTTCCATTGCATTTGCTTTTCTGCTTTTTGCTTTGGCAGCGGCAAGTTTGGAAAGCAAGAAGATGGCCGAAGAACTGTCACTGGGAAATCCAATTGATTTGGGGAGGATAAATGAGGACATGGTAGTAAAGCTATAAACTTTTATTTTTGCGTTATTTTAAGTATGTAGTGTTGTTCATTTCATGGGTTTTGTTTGGAATGCATGTTCGCATATGGGATGAAAACAATATTGCTTTGGTGTAGTAACATAAGTAGAAGGAGAATTTATGAAGTACTTCTCTTTGTTGTCACTAGCATGTTAAAGACTCCAATATCTATGTTGATGTTACTTCACTTATATATTCCAGAAGTGGGTATGTGCACAATATCGAGCCAACATCACACTACAAGCCACATAGAAAAATAGACACTTATCCATTTGGAACATAATTGCTTTCTCATCTTTCCATAGTTATGTCTTCTGTATTCCTACTTAGTTTCCCAACAATTTGATTTTATGTAGTGATGAGTGACATATGTTCTACTAAAGTGCCTAGTAATATTAGAATTCTATCATAGGAATAGAATGGTTTATGCCTCAGAATACGCAATTATAGTTGCTCATTAGGCTGTTGTCTTGTCCAACAGGCTCTCCTTCATATAGGATTTGGCAAAGAACGCCTCCTGGCCTGCTCTTTATTCTCAAGGAGATGCAAAGTTTATTTCTTTCAAAATTTTCTTCTTTCATATGCTTCATTCTTCATGTGTCCAAAAATATCATAGAACCATAACAATCAGGTTTAGGAAACTTATACCAATGTCGTTGGTAAAATGCTTGGAATTTTTGTTCCTCTTTGGGGTAAAAGTTTGGTGCTAGGAATTCCTGGATGGAATTTTGCTATTCTGTGTCTAAGATAAAACTGAAGGTTTTTCTTTTGGAAATAAAAATCCTGAATTACTTTCGGAATGAAATAAAATTAAATTCCTGAATCTATTGATAATGGAAAAAGATGCCAGAATATGGGAATATGATTTATTTGTTTATAATAAGTTTAGCTTAAGCTGGCTTTGATTGATAAATTTGCGGACTTTTCAACTGCTTTTTATAATACGGGCGTATGATATTTCTAAACTCCTTCATAAATGGAGAGTATTGTTGAAAGTCCATTATTTAGTTCATGACCTATGTTATTTCTTCTAGTTCTCAATGTCGTGTTTCTTTGCATTTGACTTGTATATTCTTTGGGCATCTTCTTATCTTGCTTGTCTCATGGATGTTAGTTAAAGATAAAGAGTAAAGAGTCATTAGACTCATTACCCAATTTTTGGTCTTCATTACCCTGTTTGCTGGTTGCTATGTTGAATTATTGTTGATCATGTGGCTGAAATAAATGCTTCATATATTATATATAGTAGTATGTAGAAGAGTTACAATCTTTTATAAGATTCAAACTTGCAACACTACCTGGAACAATAGATTGCACAAAGGAATAATTAGAGACAATACATTAGGTGGAAAGGATAATTGTTTCGTAAAAGAAAATTATGTGCAACTCTTTTAATGGAACCATCCAGAAAGCAGAATGTGTGGAACATAGAAACACAATATGTAGAACAACAGTTCACTAGTGTTTGTGGAAAAATCAAATCAAAAGTTTGTTTCTCTGTGACTAATATGTTTTCAAATAAAGCTTATAGGATTCGATACACTCAACAACAGGGATTATTGGACGGTACTTATGCACATTATTCAGATCAGAATGCATAAGCTTATTGAAGTCTCACAGTTGTCCTTGGCTGCAGGCTGAGCTACTATGGCTAAATTGTGGGCTAAAGGTGATTTGTGCAAACGAAGTGGTTGAAGACCTTGAATTATATGCCCCAGACTATAAGTACTGTGGCAGCACTGAAATAATTTCTGAAATTAAGGTATCCGCGAAAGAAAACATACAAAAAACTGTCAGTATCTTGCATCCCCAGGTTAAGCAAACTCTTCTGGATTGTGTGAGGAAGAAAAATCTCATGTTCCTGGTCTCTGGAGAAGAGAGAAGCTCTAAAAGTTGGTACACCAAGTACCTCGAGTCCTGGTTTGGGGGATCTGACGCTCCTGGACGACGTGAATTGCTTCAGAATTTTGAAGAAGCACCTGCCCCGTCCCCTGCATCATCACCTGTTTCTAGTCCAGAACCTTCCATTGATCCACCACCTTCAAGTTCTGTACTTCCTAAGCCTCAGCGGCCTACTGGTCCTCTGTCACGGCCATTGTTTGCACCAGATTTTAAAGATTCAAGCATGCAACCTACATCTGGTACAAGCTCAAAAACTTCACCTGAACAGCCAAATAAGCAGAAGAGCAGCCGTAAAACAGTTGTTATTGCTGTTGTTGTAACTGCTGCAGTGACACTGCTTGTTGCTGCACTGCTCTTTTTATGCTGTCAGAGGGTTTGTGGGACTGGATCCGGAGCCAGACGAAAAGACGAGAGGCCTCTTTTGTGTTTAAGCTTAAGTGACTATTCTATTGGTATATAGTTAGTTCCTTTCTCATGTGTTTTTCAAAATTTAATAGCATTTTGAAATTTGCTATACTAATATGTTTTGCAATTTTGATTTTTTCAGGTTCATCACGGAAGTCATCTGCATTAGGAAATTCACTTAAGAAAGTGAATCCTGGTAATCAGTCATTCCATACCGACCCGGACCAAAACAAAATGGGTTCATGTTTGGATGGTAATTTTAACGTAGAGCCAAATAGTCTGAATATCTCAAAAATTGAAATTTCAATGGGGTCTGTTGCTGGTGCTGCAATAGCACAAAATTCTGCAAAGATACCACCGTCTCCTCTGAAACCCCCTCCTGGAAGGTTGGGCACCCCTGAACTGCCTCCTCTGAAGCCTCCTCCTGGAAGGGCAGATCCCGCTGCACCACCCTCCACTCCTGGCAAGACAGTTCCTCCCCCTCCTCCTCCTCCTCCTCCTCCTATACCACCTCCATCTCTAAAACCTCCTTCTGGCGCACCACGTCCTCCCCCTCCAGGACCACCTCCTCCACCACCTATGGTCCTCAAGACTGGTCCTCGCCCTCCACCGCCTCCAAGCAGTGCTCTCCCTCCGCCTCGGCCGCCTGCCATGGGCTTGAAACCACCACGAGCTTCACCTCTTGGACCGAGGCATCCGTCAACTAAGGCTTCTGCTCAAGGGGATGAGGCTGATGCTCCTAAAACCAAGCTAAAGCCATTCTTCTGGGATAAGGTTCTGGCAAATCCTGATCATTCAATGGTTTGGCATCAGATTAAATCGGGGTCCTTCCAGTAAGTTGCTCTCTGTCCCTTTCTCCCTCATCCCTCTTTGATGTTGCTTATGGATTGTTATAAGTATTAGCTGCCAAAAAGACAATGAACATGTTTATGAACAGTTTCAATGAAGAGATGATAGAAACTCTATTTGGCTATTCCCCTGCTGAGAGAAACAAGAATGAGCCCAAGAAGGAGTCTTCATCCAAGGATCCTTCAACACAATATGTTCAAATAATTGATCAGAAAAAGTCACAGAATTTATCGATTCTTCTGAAGGCATTGAATGTGACAACAGACAAAGTTTGTGATGCACTTCAAGAAGGTGATTCTCTTCTCCACATTGCAGCTAAATATAATATCGGTAATTAGCAGAGGCTGACCCATTTTGAGCTGAATCAGGAAGTGAGCTTCCATCAGAAATACTTCAAACTTTGTTAAAAATGGCACCAACAACAGAAGAAGAACTGAAGCTGAGGCATTATAGTGGTGAACTTTCTCGCCTTGGGTCTGCAGAGCGGTTCCTAAAAGTATTGGTTGACATCCCATTTGCCTTTAAAAGGCTAGAATCATTGCTTTTCATGTGGAGTCTGCAGGAGGAAGCATCAATTACTAAAGAGTCCTTTGCTACATTAGAGGTAAGACATTGGATCTTTGCTTCAGTTGATTCTAATTCTCACTGGTTTCTGCTTTTTCCCATTCCCACTCCTTGACTGATTATTTTCACTCGGTCCTTTTTGCTCGTAATGTATGTGCAGCTACAGTGCGATGGCACAACGGAAAGATCTGAAATACCATCATATTGCATGAGATAGTCCAATATAGTCCAATAAATTATGCTTAGAAGATTTTTATTTGTCTAGTATAGATTATCTGGTGCCTTTACGTTTTTCCACATTTTGGACTCAAGAAACTGCACAAAAAAAATAAACATGTTGTCTATTTTCCATGACTTTTGTCTTCTTTATAATTTTTTCTTATCTTCTTCTCATTGGTGTTGTTGGAAGCTCCCATCCTGCTATCTTTTTTTTCCTTTCCCTCACTTCTTACCTAGCGAGGCTGGAGAAAGAAAATACACTTGGTAATCTTGGAGACAGCGACGCATAATTTACAACAGATCTCAGCTGCTGCTGATTCTTCTTCTTCTGTTGCTGCTGATTCTTCTTGTTCTGTTTAGATTTCTAAAGTTACATCCTATTAAATTGTGTTGTTACAATTCTCCTTGAATATCTGTTCTTTCTCTATTGAGCTCAAACATTTTTAACATCAAGCTGGTCATTTTCATCTATTTTACATTGATCTTGGCATTATATTCTATTTATCTAAGTGTCTGACATGTTTTCTGACTGTCAAGTGGGTGTTATTCGAACCTGAATCCATTTGTCAGTGGTACTTAAATTTTATATTTCTTTTTGTTTTTTTTTGCTTTTCCATAAACACCTTAATAGTCAGTTGACATACATATACCAGCATGCACACGCTCAGTCATAAATGCATTACAGTGTTACAGACATATCTACTCGTTGATCCATCAATTCTGCTTGTTACAATTTTCCAATAAACTTAGTTATTTATTAGTATATTTGTACATAGTAGCCTCTAGCTTTTATGGCATCTCCCTTTTATGCTGCAGGCTGCTTGCTTGGAACTCAGAAAAAGCCGATTGTTTCTCAAACTCCTAGAGGCTGTTCTCAAAACTGGTAATCGCATGAATGATGGAACCTTTCGTGGTGGTGCACAAGCATTTAAACTCGACACACTTTTAAAACTATCTGATGTAAAAGGAACAGATGGAAAAACTACACTCTTGCACTTTGTTGTCCAAGAGATAATCCGCTCAGAAGGTTCACGAGCTGCCCGTGCAGCTAAAGCTGGCCGTAGCAGGTCCAGCATCAAGTCTGATGATGTCCTTGAGGATTCTTCTCATGATTCAGAAGAGCACTATCGTAGTATCGGTCTTCAGGTGGTCTCAGGTTTGGGTGGTGAGCTTGAGAACGTCAAAAAAGCTGCAGTTTTGGATGTTGATGGCTTAACAGGAACAATTGCCAAACTTGGTCATGGATTCATTGAAGCCCGGGATTTCCTTAACTCGGATATGAGGAGTTTAGGTGAAGAAAATGGGTTCCACCAAGCTCTAAAGAATTTTGTTCATAATGCTGAGGTTGACACAAAATGGTTATTTGAGGAAGAGAAGAGAGTAATGGCTCTGGTGAAGAGCACAACAGATTACTTCCATGGGAACTCTGGCAAGGATGAGGGTTTGCGGTTATTTGTCATTGTTCGGGATTTCCTCATAATGTTAGATAAGGAATGCAGAGAAGTGAAAGACGCCCCAAGGAGGCCGAATAGGATGCTAAGGAAAGAGGATTCACAACCCCGCCATTCTCCTTCTCCAGATCCTCGTCAGAGTCTTTTTCCAGCTATCACTGACAGACGGATGGATAGTTCTAGTTCAGATGATGACACTCCATAGATCTGTTAGTGGAAGTATAAAGAAAAGGATGATATGTTAATCCTATCATCAGAATGCCATCTGTAGTTCATAGGAACATCAAAGATGGTTGGAAGGGGTTTGAAACCATGGCACTTAATACAAGAAATACTTTGATAAGAAGACACACATGACTGAAGCCAGCAATGGTCTGTTCACCTACACTTATAACTCTATTGTTGCAACGAAGAACAGGGGATTTAATACATGGTTCTGAAAGGATTTTTCGTTCGCGACGGTCCAGTGGTTCATAAACGGATAGAATTTTTTTTGTCTTTAATTCTTTCACCATTTTTTGGTGATAATGTTTCATTAATTTGGAATTAGAGTAGCCAATGGATTGTTTTATCTTCAGGTGAATGCAATTTCAAGTTTTTTAGCCGTTAATTTGTCTCATTTGACGGTCAAATTTTAAAAAAAGGAATCAATTCAAACAAATTATATAGTTCAAGAAACAATTAAAAGTTCACGGATCAATTTAAAATTAAGATTATAGTTAACATTTACGAGAGTTGTATTGATATTAGGGTAAAAGAGAGTTGTACAATTACATAAAAACCCCTTATAGAACAATAAACAACAATATAATACAACAATACTATCTCTAGTTTCTACACTCCCCCTCAAACTGAGGCTGAGTAACACGAGGTAGAGTGAAGATATCTGCAAGTTGGTGCTGAGATGCAACACGAGGTAGAGTGATCTCGCCATCTAGATATTTGTTATGAATAAAATGACAGTCAATTTCAATTTGTTTCATCTGCTCATGAAATACTGGGTTAGATGTAATTCGTATGATACTGACATTATTTGCAAATAAAAAAAATGTTGGAGTTTGAATAGGCACACCTAGCTCTTGCAAAATACCTCTAAGCCAAGTAATCTTACTATAAGATGAAGACATTGCTCTATACTCTGCTTCAACTGAAGACTTATGCTCCGTTTGGTACAATAAAAAAGTGGGAGGATGAAAAGTTAGAAAGATGAAAAATTAAAAGGATAAATAAAACATTATATTTGGTAAGAAAGAAAAGTAGGAAGGATGAAAAAGTAGATGAATTAACTTTTCTTCCGACTCACCAAAATCAATCATTCTAAAATCGGAAGGAAAGTGGATGAAAAGTTAATTATTTGTGTTGAGATGTATTTTATTTGTCTATATATCTTTATATATATATATATATACGTATACATTAATTTCATATAAAAAATATATATATTTTAAAAAATTTTAAAAATAAATTTTTAAAAAATAAAAAAAATATTTTAAATTAAAAAAAATTATTTTTTTCATCTTAATTAAGGGTGAAAATTTTCAACTCAACACGATGACACGACTCGAACTCAATACGAAAATAAACATGTCAACTCGTAACTAGACACGACACAATTAGTTAAATGAGTTAAGTTAGGTTTGACTAATATTCGATTCAAACTCGTAATGATTCCACGAATCTGACACGACATGACTCGATTGTCACTCCTAATTTTAACTAACACACAAAAAAAAATAGTCATTTTTATTTTTCATTCATCCAACCAAAATATAAAGGAAGGAAAGTGTATCCTTCCTACTTTTCATCCTTAAATGATAGAAAGTGTATCTTTTTTATTTTTCATCCTTCCTACTTTCCATCTTGCTCTGTTTGGTACGATGAAAAAATAGGATGATGGAAAGTTGAAATGATAGAAAATTGGACGGATAAATAAAACATCATGTTTGATAAGGAAGGAAAGTAGGAAGGATGAAAAAGTGGATGAATTAACTTTCCTTCCAACTCACCAAAATCAATCTCTCCAAAATCGGAAGGAGAATGGATGAAAAATTAATTATTTGTGTTGAAATGTATCTTATTTGTCTATATATATTTTTTATAAATGCATATATTATGTATACATTAATTTCAAATAAAAATACAATGATAATATATATATATATATTAAAAAAAATTAAATTAAAAAAATTTTAAATTAAAAAAATATATTTTTTCCATCGATGAAATTTTTCGACTCAACACGATGACACGACTTGACCTCGATATGAAAATAAACAGGTCAACTCGTAACTTGACACAACACAATTAGTTAAATGAGTTAAGTTAAGTTTGACTAATATTTGACACAAACCCATAATGACTCAACATAAAACTGATACAACACGATTCGATTGTCACACCTAATCTTACCTAGCAAAAAAATAAAAATAGTTATTTTTATTTTCCATCCAATCAACCAAAGACAAAAAAAAAAAGTGTATCCTTCCTATTTTTCATATTTGAAGGAAAAAAAATGTATCCCTCATACTTTTTATCCTTCTTATTTTTCATTCTCCCTATCAAAAGGAGAATTAGAAACAATGTGATGTTTCTTACACTTCTAAGAAATAAAAAAGTCTCCGAGAAACACACGCCAACCAGTCATAGAGCGTCGGGACTAACCACCCAATCAGCATCTGCATAGGCTCGTAAATTGGTAGATGATTGAGAAGGAAAGAACAACCCTTTAGAGATAGTTTCTCTAAGTTATCGAATAATACGCTAAACTACAGTAAAATTAACCAGGCATGGATTGGAAACGAACTGACTAACCACAAAACCATGGAAAGGAAAAACATTCACAACCAACTTAAAAAAACCAGTAATAGCAGAAAGATCAGATCAGCCAAAATTTAACAACCATGCATCAACTCCCAACTGGAAGTCGAATGAATGCAATTGTGCTTAATAGTTTCTTCCATGACTCCGTCCAAACCTAAAGAATTAGTAATCCATTCGTCGATTTTGTTGATGACGACAATTACGTTAATTTAACGTCTATCTACCGCGAGAAATTTGTTAATTCAATGCCTATCCACGATGATAAATTTGTTAATTCAACATCTACCAATGATGACAAATCTGTTAATTTAATGTCTACCAACCACGATGACAAATCTATTAATTTAATATCTATCCACGACGACAAATATGTTAATTCATGTCTACCAACAATGACAAATCTGTTAATTCAGTGTCTAACCACAATGACAAATCTGTACAACGACAAATCTGTTAATGCAATGTCTACCCACGACGACAAATCTGTTAATTCAATATCTACCCAAGATGACAAATCTGTACAATGACAAATCTATTAATTTAATATCTACCAATAATGACAAATCCAATGAATCTGTTAATTCAATACCTACCATCGACGACAAATCTGACAAATTTGTTAATTCAATGTCTACCAACAACGACAAATCTAAAAATCTGTTAATTCACGACGAATCTAACAAATTTGTTAATTCAATGTCTCCCCACAACAATAAATTTAACAAATCTATTAATTCAATGCCTACCAAGAATGACAAATCCTTGCTGATTCAAGTTCTACTACAAATTGTCTCAACTAAAGCAACTTAAAAAGCAATCCAAATGCCTGCAATGAATGAACATGCTAAATTTTCCAAACGCTATAATCATGTGTCGTTGTAGCCAAAAATACTAAATTGCATCTGTTCCTATCTCCTCAAAAAGAATGTTCAGTTCATCATTTAAGAACAAATTATATCAACTGAAAAATTACTGGACAACATCTACTCCAGTGACTCAAGACATAAAAAGTGCTGTATCTAAACATGGTGATGTCTAGGTCACATCACATAACTCAAGTTCATCACTCAAATTAAACACCAAACACCAACTCAACTGACTTTTAAATAAATTCACATACCATTATTTGAAGCCCCATAGGAATCTTTCACAAAAATATTCAACTCTTTATAAAAGTTGATTTCTCCTACATGTAAGCACTCTTCAACATGAAACCACCCACATTTAGCAACAAGTCCCAAATTTTCAACCCACCCATTTGCACTTTACTTTAGATTTGTTGGCTAAGTTAAATAACTAATGGGACGTTTCCGAAGTTTTAGACTGATTTATGAGTGACATGTGTCTCGACATTAATGTTTCGGAGCATTTATAGGTGACATGTGTCGTCGACATTGTGGTCTCAAAATGAGCCATGAGTAACAGGTGTCCTCAGCATTGATGCCTTGGAGCGTTTCCCCAAGCAACAGGTGTCCTCGACATTTTGTGGTCTCGAAGTGATCCACGAGGTGTTCTTAACATTAATGCCTCGGAGTGTTCCCCTCTGGTGACATGTGCCCTCAGCATGGTATAATTCGGAATGTTCCATCCCCTTGTCACCATCTTTAGACTCTTGGCACCAAGCCATCCACGCTTACGTAATGTGAACAATTGCCTTGACGGTTAGCCTTTGTCAAATGATGAGGATAGACTCATAAGAAAAAAAGCAAAAATATCCAAGAAAAAAGGCCATGACGGTTAGCCTTTGTCAAGTGATTGAGGTAAAACAAAATATCATTGCTTGGAAGTGGGGTTGACTATCAAATCATAAATCTCCCTTCTCAAGATAGTCAGAATGGTTGGAAAAATAATTCAATAACCAATGAGGAAGACGTATGGAGTATGAAACATTAAATTCTTGACCATTTAGAGAGTGATCGACAAAAATATCTCTGCACATGTGCAGCCACAACCTAGGCACATTAAATAACCTCACAAAAGGATAAACCATATTTATTGTTCAGCAAAGTAAAAAGGGTTAATTATAAATTACACTATAAAAGATCATTTGAATATCAATTTTTACCTCTAAAAATAAAAAATCTTAATTTGCACCTCTCAAAGATATAAAGTTGTATCAATGTGTACCCCAAAAGATCAAAAATTTCAATTTATACCCTCAAAAATAGAAATTTGTATCAATGTGCACCGCCAAAGATCAAAAATTTAAATTTGTACCCTCAAAAATAAAAATTTGTATCAATGTGCACCTCCAAAGATAAAAAATCTCAATTTGCACCCTCAAAGATAGAAATTTGTATTATTGTGCACTTAAAACTAATTGCCGTCAATTTGCTGACTAAAACTAAATTGATAAATTATACCTAAATTCCCTCATGCTTGTCAGTTAATCATTTAGACCCTTTCACAAAATAAACGGTAATATAAAATTATAATTTTTTATTAGGATAAAATCATATTTTTTAACAGTTATAAAATTCTAATAAAAATACTCTCAATCTAAAATGTCCCCCTAATTGGGCATTCAAATAATTATGTTTAAGTGATATATTGCATTAGATATAAAAAATATTATATAAATACTTATATTCTATTGGACATTTAAATTGTAAGCTTGATTATGAACTTTAGAGTATATTGGACCCACAAAATAAAAGGTAATATAAAATTATAATTTTTTATTAGGATAAAATTATATTTTTAACGGTTATATTAACAGATATCAACTAAAAAGTGTTACGTGTTACACGTGCACAAACGTTATGAGATGTAAGAGTAATATTCTAAATGTGAAGAGATCCAAATGATTAAGTGACAAGCGTGAGGGGATTTAGGTATAATTTATCAATTTAATTTTAGACAGCAAATTGACGACGATTAATTTTAGGAACACATTGATACAAATTTTTATCTTTGAAGATGCAAATTGAGATTTTTTATCTTTAGGGGGTGTACATTGATACACATTTCTATTTTTGAGGGTTCAAATTGAGATTTTTGATCTTTGGGAATACACATTGATACAAATTTTATGTTTGAAGGTGCAAATTAATTTTTTTTATTTTTAGAGATACAAATTAAAATTCGAACAATCTTTCGGAGTGCAATTTACAATTAACCCAAATAAAAAACATGAGCATTAAGTGTTTAGAGATCTGAGCATTAAATCAAAAAATTTCTACCAAATCTACGCACCATATGTTGCCCTCCTAAGAACAACTCCAATAGATGCTTCAAATGCCCAAAATAGGTAAATTTTAGCTAACCAAAACCACACTCCAATAGATTATGTTGATATGTTATAAAATAGATTTTTGCCACCGTAGTAATATGTAAATATAATCCTTTCATTTCTTACATTCTCTCTTTTTTTCTTTTCATTATTCCCAAAAAATATAATACAAAAAGATAATAAATAATATTTAAAAAAAATAATTAAAAATATTGAAGTGTGTATTGAAAAAGTGAATAACTAAAATAGAAAAAATATTTTTTGAGTAGTTAAAATAACTACTATTGTTAGAGATGCTCTAATGAACCAAAGAGGTGTTTTCCCTCCAAGTGACACAACTGTCCACAATAATTAACTCCTGAGGTATAAATAACACTCTCAAGTTCAAATCTAATGTATGCCACCTCTTGCCTAGAAATCACGTGAAAAAACACTTCAACACCCTTAAGCGACAAAACTCTATTCAAGAAGTTACATGCAAGTAGATCATTTGTAAAGAATTCCATCAACGTGCATTACATTCTCTCACTAGCCATTCACTGTGGGACACTCAACTTCCATGGCAAACTCGAACTCATAGGAGGAGAGATCTATCATCTTATTCATTGCGTTAAAATCATCCCGCACAACAACTTAACAAACAAACCACAACCACCTCCATACACCTAAAATTGAATGAAGCAAGTGAAGAATTCAAACATGAACGAGTAACAGAAGGCAGCACATAGAAAAGTTTCATTAATTCCATCTATTAAGAATGTAGATCTCAGCATTGGTGTGAAACAGATGGATGATTGATTGTTTTATATTCACAGTACCAAAGAAAATCTAAAAACTACAGCGAATACAACAACTAGTACAGACTCACCAACACCTAATTAGAACACTAAAAACAAAACTAATACAAAGGCACTAAATCCAAGCGATACAATGAACTCTGCTCTGTTCATCTAATCCTCATCGGCAGAAGGTTTTGATGAACCGCCAGCTTTCTTCGGCAGCAAAAGGTTGTGAATGTTCGGCATCACACCACCATTCGCAATTGTGACATCTCCGAGAAGCTTACTCAGTTCTTCATCGTTTCTCACAGCCAATTGAATATGTCTGGGCACAATCCTAGTTTTCTTGTTGTCCCTCGCAGCATTCCCAGCCAATTCAAGAACCTATAAACACACAGAAGTAACCATTACATCATAACCACATCAAAATTCGAAACCCAAAAAATTAGGGATATCGATGAAAACAATCAAATTGAGTAAATAGAAGGAAGCTAAACGATTTATGGACAAAAAACAAGTAAAATTACATGAAAACTTGAAAACCAAGATTCGGAAACCCTAAAATTTGGGGATAATTTGGATGAAACAATGAAAGTGAATAAAAAGAGAGAAATTAAGAAATTACTTCGGCAGCGAGGTATTCAAGGACGGCGGCCAGATAGACTGGAGCTCCAGCGCCGACACGTTCGGCATACTTGCCGGCTTTGAGGAAACGGGCAATACGGCCGACGGGGAACTGAAGGCCGGCCTTGCTGCTACGAGATTGGGCTTTCTTTGAAGCTCCAGAGCCTAGTGTTTTGCCTCTTCCAGCCATTATCGATGTCGCAGAAAATTGACTTCGCAGAGAGAGGCAGAGAGAGGCGGAGAGAGAGAGGGGTGGCAACGACAAAGAGGCGGTGTTATTTTACTGTGAACTATAGTGGATTCGGTTGCTGTGCTTATATAAGAATTGAGGTTTTGAACTTTGACCAATCAGGTTAGATTACACGGATCGAGGTTCTTGATCGTGGGATTAGAAGAGAAAGAACGGTTGGATTTTATGTCTTAATTCGTCTCCACCGCTTGAAGCCTTGGCTTGAACCTGCAGTTTTGGTGCAATGAATTGACAGATATGTCCCTACTGTTTTCGACGATTACCTGGCCCGCTCCTTATGATTGGTTTTGGGATCTGACAACTTTAAACCCCCCCCCTCAACACATTTTGTTAGATTTCACCGTTAACTATGGACAAAACTCAAACGATAAATACAAGTGACATATATTGAAGGTCATTTTCGACATTTCACCTATTGTGTATGTGTTTTACGCGCCCAAAATTCCCTCCCTTGATGCTCTGTTCCTAGACGAAATCCCTTCATCTCCTACATTCAACGACTGAAGCATAATGTCTTGGTTAGGGTTAGGGTTTTGTGTTCCTGATTCTCATATTGAATGAATGTTGTGAATAGGTAGACCTTTCATCTCATTCCCATCTCCAAAATTCTCTGTTTGATGCTTTGTTCCTAGACGTAGTCCCTTTATCTCCTACATTCAACGACTGAAGCACACTGTCTTGGTTAGAGTTAGGGTTTTGTGTTCTTGATTCTCATATTGAATGAATGCTGTGAATAGGTGACCTTTCATCTCATTCCCATCTCCTACATTCAACGACTAATTAAACCAGAATGAGTTTGTTATTGCGGGTAGTAGGTGTTATCTTCCATCCACAACAAGTCTATAGTAAGTATTGCATCTCATACTTGTAGCTTTGGTTGTTTGGTGTTGGGTATTGGGTATTAGAATAATTGTCGTGTTGTTGGCTTTTTGGTGTTGGGTATTGGGTATTGGGTTTTATGTATTGTGTTCCTTAAAGAAATCGGGTACATTTTTGTTCCTTACAGAATTTGGTTGTTGGAAGCATATGCCCTTACAGAATTGTTTTAATCTTACAGAATTCTTTTAATCCATATTTTGTTGGATTTTTCTATATTGATTGTCAGTAGTTGACTGCAATTTATTCTTGTGTTGGCTTCACAATGCATAAGCAGGTCTGTGCTCAAATTTTTTCACTATAGAGATGCATTATGGTGGTAAGTTCAAGCATATGCCCCGCAGAATGTACTTAGGAGGGAAAGTTAACCATTTTGATTTGTGTGATGTTGATAAAATCTCTGTCCTTGAGATAAGTGAAATGACAAAAGAATTACAGTGTGAGGTGGTTACTCGTTATCACTATAGAGTTCTTGGAATGAATCTCATTGATGGTTTGAGGGTGTTGAATGATGACAGTGATGTATTAGGAATGGTAGAGTTGGTTCCCAAGAACAAGGTAATAGAAGTATACTTGGAACATGACTTAGTTGACAAAGAATATGATGCATATGAAGAGTACGATGCAGTTGATGGTGATCATTCCGATGCATCAAATTATGAAGAAGTGTCTAACAGTGGTGAAAAAGAAACTAATGATTACTAAAGTAGACAACGTGACTGAGTTTGGTGGTTTGGATGAAGATACAAACATGAGGCAGTAATGCACAAATAATAGTGAACATGCAGTGGACACAGATGTTCTCTCTGATGATGATGCTACTTCTGATGAAGTTAGAATGATTTTCAGTTCATCTGATGATGATGCAGTGGACAGTTCATCTAAACCAAGACCAAGATATGCAAAATTTAGTGCAAAGAAAGACATGGAACATCCTGAATTCAAGTTAGGTATGTTGTTTGCGTCATCGCAACAGTTTAAGCAAGCTGTTAAACATTATGCCATTTGGAAAGGGAAGGCCATAAGGTTTGTCAGAAATGAGAAACACAGGGTCAGGGCTAAGTGCAAGCCACATTGTGAGTGGATGATATTTGCATCCAAGGTCCAAGATGAAGATACATTGCAAGTGAAGACATTTAATGATGAACACACTAACTGCAACTGGTCATGGCATAATAGGCATGTAACAGCAAACTGGCTATCTAAAAAAAACATGCACAATACTAGATCAAATCCTGAATGGCCATTACAAGCCTTTAGGGAAGCTGTGGAGGAAGACCATCAGGTGGGTGTGTCCATGAATGTGGTGTGGAGAGCAAAAGAAGCTGCTAAAAATGTTATTCAAGGGAATCACAAAGAACAGTACAAGAAGATATGGGATTATTGTGAAGAAATAAAAAGAACATATCCGGGGTCTACTTTAGTTGTAGATTACGAACAAGTCAACCCTGGGGAAGTGAATCAAAGGTTCAAAAGATTTTACTGTTGCTTAGGACCTTTGAAAGAAGGATTTATACAAGGTTGCAGGACATATATAGGCATAGATGGCTGCCACTTGATAGGCCCCTACCCTGGACAACTATTATCAGTAGTTGGAGTAGATGCTAATAATGGAATATAGCTTGTTGCATATGCCATAGTTGAAACAGAAAACACTAGTGCATGGAAGTGGTTTTTTGAAGTTGTTCTGTGAAGATATAAACATGGTGAATCAGTTTCATTGGACTTTTATGTCTGACCAATAAAAGGTATTCCTTGTCAGTTTCATTAGACTTTCTAACTGTATTCTTTTAAAACATTTTACCATATTATCGTGTAGTATTATGTCTTATTGAATGTTGTGTCATGTATTAGGGAATTCGTAATGTCATGGAGTCATTACTACCAAATTGTGAACACAGGTATTGTCATAGACATCTTTATAATAATTTCAAAAAAGAGCATAGAGGAAAGAAGTTGAAAGAGTTGATGTGAGATTGTGCTAAGGCTACCAATGTGGAGTACTTTATGACGACAATGGATGAAGTGAAGAAGGAGGATCCTAGTGCTTTCGACTGGTTAGTCACATCTGTACAACCCTTTCATTGGAGTTTATCGCACTTTTCTACCATTCCTAAGTCTACTCACCTTTTGAACAACCATTGTGAATCTTTCAAAAAGTTTGTTTTAGATGCAAAGATAAGCCAATAATCACACTGCTTGAGACTATTAGAAACTTGTTGATGGAAAGGATACAGAGAAGGAGAGATATAATGCTTAGGTTGAGTGGCCCTAACTGTCCAATGGTTAGAAATAGGTTAGAGAAAATAATCAGAGTCTCATACTTGCAGGCCCAGATTTAATGGTTTGGACAGTTTTCAAGTTTTATGTTCTGATGGGGCTTAGTTTGTGGTAAACATAAGAGATAGAAGTTGTAGTTGTAGGAAATGGGACCTTAGTGGAATTCCATGTACTCATGTTGTGTCAGCAATTCACTATCATGGCAGAAACCCTCACTTGTTTGTTGATGATTGTTTCAAGAAAAAGACATACTTAAAGACATATGACCATGTATTGCACCCTATCAATGGAAGTGATTTGTGGCCTCCAACAGGAAAAATACCACTAGATCCACCTATAGCTCATGTGCAACCAGGCAGACCAAAGAAAGCAAGAAGAAGAGAATTTGATGAGCCTCCAAAAGTTGAGAAATTGGGTAGGAAAAGAGTTAAGATGACATTGTAACAAATGTGGTAACTTTGGCCACAACTAAAGAAGTTGCAAAGGGCCAAATAGTCTACCAAGGTCAGTCCCAAGTGTGGAAAAAACTGTTTCAACTAATGTTATAGGTGGCAGAAGACCTAAATTACCTGTGAGTGTCTACTACTTATGATACTTAGTTATTTGTTATGACCATATTTGCCTTCATACTCAAATGTTATATTTCAATGTAGGTAAAAGACATCAATCACATACATCAATCTCAGTCCCAATCCCAATTCAATCACAAACATGAAGCTCAGTCCCAATTCAATCACAGACAGCAAGCCCAAATGTAACTTAGTCACATTCAGCAGCTCATGGTCGTTTGTTTGTGAGGCCAGGGATGTCACAACCTCCACAATCTCATCATCCCAATGATGGTAGGCCATCCTCATCAGATGGTCAGAGGGTTGTAACACGTTCATCACTACAAAAAAAAGCTGAAGCAATGAGAAAAAATAAAAAGAATGGTGGGCAATTAACTCAATAGCTTGACTGGTGGCTGAGTATTTTGTAAGATGGACAAAGAAGAAGGTGGACTTTGTCTTTGAGTATTTTGGTCACATTCAGCAGCTCTATATGGATGTTCTTTGCTTTTTGGGTTCCTGGAGTTTTTTGTTGTCTGTTTTGGACTTTGTTTGTCTTAGCTAAGTGCAAGCCACCTTGTAACAACTTATGAAGTGTTGTGTTTTGTATATATGAACATCTTATTATGCAGCAAGTGTTGTGTTCATATGAACATCCACAATCTGAACATCTTATTAGTGTATATATGAACATAAAACACTAGATTATACAAATGTCTCACTAATGAAGAGAATGTTAGTTTAACAAAGTGAATTTTTATTGGATGTTAATTGAACGAATTAAATGTTAATTGAATGATTATGGATATAAATTGGATGCACTGATTCATCTGAAACATATCAGGCAACACTTATCCATTACTAATAACAAACATATGGTAGATGATCACTAATAAGAAACTCGAACAAATACATCAACTACATCTTTCCATTACTAATTAACATTACATCCTTACTAACTTAACAAGCCATAAAAACATACAAGCAATTCATATTCCCATTCCCATTACAAGAACAATTTTTTTACATTCAGCACTTTCTCCTGCAATTTCTCTTAATCAAATTTTACAGTCGGTTCAAATTGACTGTCAAAGCTTGTCGATGCTTCTCCACCAGTTCCATTGCTGGATAATGCCCACATTACCAACCACGAAATTACCAATGCAACCCATAGGAGACACTCTCTTTTTTTTTGTTTGGTAGCTTGTTTCTCTGCAACTGAAACTCGTTTTATAAGGCCAGGGATTATCTGTCGGGCACGAGGACAAATAGGTGGGTCGTACCAGTCGAAGAACCCGCAACCCCTATTCTACAAGTACACGAACATGTTATATATGTTAGAAATTGTTG